GTCTAGAGAAGGTTGCCCTGGAGAAAGGCATGGACACAAGAAGAGTTTTAGTGGCGGAGAGTCCCACACACCTGTAATAGCTCATCTTTACCCCTGACGGCGCATAATGCACTTCCCTCGCCAAAAAAATAAAATAACTCCACCTCAGGAGTACATGACCATGACGTTAGTGGAGCTTGAGTATCCCAATAACCTTGAGAGCTTTGCCGGCGGTAGCACAACTACTTGCAGGGTCTCCCATGCCGGACAGGTCGATGGGGAGGGGTCAGACGAAGAAGTACTTCAGAAGGGGACCTCAACAACAGCAGAAGAGAACCTACCGAAGAGTCAGTCCACGAAAGGGATGAAGTTGGCTTCAAAGCGACCCTTCTCTCCCCGAGAGTGGATCAGGGAAGCCCTTTGCGTACCCCCATGAGCCTGAGAGCTGTCAGTGGTAGCCTAGCTACCCCCGAACCTGTCATTAGCCAGCGAATGGGGATGCCTTCAGCAGTCAGTGAAAATCCCCTACAGTTCTGAAATGACGGCCGGCGATCGGAAGGGACCCCATTCTGGGCCCTGCGAGGGGATGTTTCGGGTCACAGTTTACGGATGACAGGACTTAACTAATATGTTAAGTGTGATATGTGAACTCAAATTTGCTTCCTGCGAAACATCTCTTAAAACCAATGAGCAAAATGGATAGATCAAGAAATGTAATCAATCTTAACTTGACTTGTACTATCAATGTTCCCTACCTGCTCAGAAACCGAGCTAATATCACCTGGTCGACTTCCGACTAGATATCATACGGATGTTACTCCCAGGGACCCAGAGTCGGTAGTAGCTCGAAGCCATCGTCAGAAATGGACACGGGATGAATTGAAGGAGGTAATTTGGTGCTATGCAACTGCGAAAATGGACGTTCAGAAATAGTTTTCAAGCTAAGGAAAGAGCGGAACCCAGATATGAGACCTTCCCTAGATTCAAAGAAGCTTGTCGGTCAACGACGATACATTCTTAGCAGAACACAGCCGAATATCTTTTGGTACATCTGGAGTTTAGGGTGCCACCGGTTCATTTGGTTCACTGATCCTATTCACTAGAGGGGAATCGACTCACTGAACTGAATCCTTGTTTACTATTTGCGTGTTGTAATGTTCACCATGTTATCGCAGTAATTATAATTTCTAACGCGCACATGCTACTTAAACTTTCATTACTACTCAAAGTCAATATTTTATTGCCCAAAAAATTATCTACTTAAAACATTTTTATACGCTGCAGAATTCGCAGTATATTTCACTAACACTTTCAACTTAAACTTTTTTATTAGCCAAACCCCCATTTTAATAATATAACATCCAATCGTCTATTTTTTTTCAAACAAATACTATATGTGAAAGATAGATCTTCTTAGAAAAAAGAAAAAAAATCAACTTACATTATCGCTGAAATTCTATAATTTTAATAGTATTAAAAATACTATGGTAGTAAAATTAGTGTAACGTCTCTGCACTAATTACGTATAACATCCTTATAACATGAAAAACTTCAATGATTCATCAACATATCACTAAATCTGCTATTATCTAAAATAATACACACTTTACTTTTTATGAACTTAAGTTCAGTAAATTAATAAGAAGAGTTCTTTCACACAGACATTTCACGCTATAACCATTATCGCCTCTGACTCAACAAATCTACTCATAACCGACTGTTCTATCCTTTATCTCAGTAAATTTCATATCTTTCTTGCATACATTACATAAACGTTGACTCGCAAGCAAACCCACTTCCTGACACTAGTGAATCACATTCAAACTTCCCTCTCGGCACAAATCATAAATAAATCCTCAATTCAAATCTTCCATCTCGGTTCATATCTTCCAGACACACAAAACTATTAAAAGACAACTTGAACCCCCCCTCCCCAAAAAACACACAAAAAAATCCACGCCAACAAAATCTTTACAATTTTACAATTCATCAATTTATGAAGTTAATACTTTTGTCATAGTAACAAATGTGGTAGGAGGCTGTTTAATTAGTAAATCAAGTCTATATTTGTAATCCATTTCAACCAGCAAGCAAACATCTTATTTTGTGCTTTGAAAGAGGGTTGGAAGTGTAATTTTAGATGTGAAGTGAAATGTAGAATGTATCGTCATGAAAAAAAAAGTTTCATAATAGCAAAATGTATAGCTTTATATGGTATATTCAAATTGTGTATATATTTATGCTTTGAATCAATGTCAGCATTTTTTTTCTCTAGTGATTGAAGTGAACCGCGCTATATAATCTTGTGAATCACAAGAAATAGTGAACCGAATCAATGAACTAAATGCACCGGTGGCACTCTAAACTCCGGATCAACCCAACTTTTTGACATTCAGAGAAATGTTTACGTTCTTTGATCGAAACACGCACATGATGATCATGTAGGATTTGAAAACGATGCTCCTGTTGAAGGTTCATCTCTTTCCAAAAATACGTCAATGGTGAAAGTTCATCTGGCGATGAACCTCACGATTAAGACATCATGCGAAATCTCCTTTGATGCGAGATAGACAGAATTCGTCAAAGAGTCCATTCGAATCTCGTGCTCCGTTGAAGAGAACATGCGAAAATTCCAAAGCTAAGAGAGTGATATAGAACTTTTCAATGAGGTGGTACAGACCCTAGGTAGATATCTACATATTACTGAAGTAGATATCTATTATTTACAGTGTGTATGCAACTGGATATCTGGTATATCAGATAACTTTAGGTCAGTGAAGCGCACCGACGGCCGACAGCAAAACAGACTAAACAGCCCTGTGCCACGATGGACGAAAATAATTATAAAACGCATAGCCGACACTCGGCGTGATATATCACTCTTAACCGAAGCATCATCTAAAACAACGCACAGCTGTTAAGTTCAACGGAAAATATTCAATGTTGAGCAAATACCAAATTGAAAATGACACAAGCAGTTCTAGTGCTAATGGTAGCTGAGAAGCTAAAAGAGAAAATCCAAGCTTGGGCTCAACGAATTAGACGTTACAAACCTGGAAATGATTTCCGTGTGTAAAATCGGTTGTTTGAATCAGATGCGAAGAGATTCTATCGCAATCTAACTCAAAAACGGAATGGCAATGCAGTCACACCTTCAAGAGATGAAGTCAAAGCATTGTGGGCTGAAATCTTGGAGGAAAGTAGATACTACAATAAAGACGCATCTTGTCTTCAATCTCAAGTTGGTGCTGCCGCTGAACCTGTGGAAACAATGGAACATGTTCACAAATTCTCAGAAGAGGTTATTTTCCAAGCAATTAAGGACACGGGAAACTGGAAATCACCCGGGATTGATAAGATCCAGAATTATTGGACCAAGAAAATAGCAATAAATTCTCAACAAGCAATAGATGTTAATAAAATTTTAGAAAACCCCAAAGGAACTCCGGAAATTCCTTACACGCGACATCACGTATGTGATACCCAAAGTGGGAGACAGCTCTTCGGCGAAGAACTCCAGCGAAATCACTTGTCTTCAAGTTCTGTACAAAATTATGTCTGCAGCCATAGCTGTGAAATGTCCAGACTCCTAGAGTGAAACCATCTGTTGCCAGTTGAACAAAAATAATGTAAAGGTTCTTATCGCTGCAAGGAATAATTGCTACTAAATAAAGTAATCTTGAATGCTGTAAAACAATGAAAGAGTAATTTGACATGGCTTGGACGGACTTCTAGCTCTCCAGCCTTTGGCTGCGTACCACACGATTGGATTTTGAAGACCTTGGAGATCTATCGATTTCATCCTAGACTTATTGAGTTTTGCAAGGCTAGTATGAAGTCGTGGAGTATCAGGTTACTAATATACAGCGGAAAGGAAGCAGTAGAAAAAAGTAACAGTAAAAAGTATTCAGATCAACAGGGTTATTTTTCAACGATATTTGCGATCCCCTCTGCTGTTTTGCATTAGTTTGATTCCACTAGACGGTTGTCGCCAGCTGACTTTGCTCACAAGCTCCATAGAGATGAAAGACGAATATCATATTTGTTTTACATGGATGATATTACAGTGTTTGCTAAGAATTAAGCGATTCTCTTCAAAATGCAGTCTGTCGTGAATGACTTTAGCAATGACATCTTCTCGAAGTTATGTCTTCACAAATGTGCAAAAATCTATTTAAAATGAGGCAAATGACATCGTCAGAGCATTGAAGTAGATCATTGAAGAATATCATTACCATGTGATTCAGGATATTGAAACAGGTAAAACTTACAAACGTCTGGGCATGTAGGACTAGCTCAAACGACCCAGTAATAGAGAGAATTCGCAGGGTGTGTTACAGAAGAATTAGACTCATCATGCAGTCAGCACTGAACTCCCTGAATATAGTACCCCTGCAGTTCACCCTGAATAGAAATGGTAGTTTGGTAGTGCCTGAGAACAAACTGGCTCAAACAGGCTGACTCTGACTGCCTCAGACTGATTGACTCGGACGGACGGACTCGCTGAGACAGACACGCACGCACGCACGCACACACACAGGGAAGGGGATGGGGAGCAGGAGAATGTCTGCCATGATGCCCTAGTTGCTCATAAAATCTACGCCTATGATCATCTTCCTACCTCAACAGAAGTAATGGATTCGCTCGTCACTTTAAATATTTACACACCATATTCCAGTATAATCGGTTTAGAAGAAAATCCGAAACTAAAAAGAAAAATGACCTGCCATGTTTTATTATCTTCGCAATATACGCTAGGAGACGTGCGCAGAGAAGATTCTACACGAGAGACCCAGAAGGCAAAACCAATTTTCAACAAATAAGACGGAAAGTCTCGGGCCTTTTGAAATATTATCGAGAAAACGCGTGCGATGCACTAAAAAAACCCTAATTCCTAAAATTCCGGAATATAGAGCCGGAAAGAAAAGTCTCTCCTGATAGAAATTAACGGGAATAGAATACGGTTGCGTGCACACATCAAATACCTTGGTGTATTTTTTAGGAGAAAATTACATGAGCAAATGACTGCACCCAACCAGCGAAACAATTGGGTATGGAAATACCTACTGACAAGCTCGGGCTACAGCAGCAAAAACAAGTTTATCTCAATTACAAACTATAGAAAACAGATTTGTACGTGATGTGTTTAGATCCAACCCCAGAATTGCATATCGAACCGTTCTAAAAAGTCACAACCTCCCAAATATTTTCAAATTCATCCACGACACTACTGTAAAAGAAATAAATAAAACATTCTCTAACTACTCCTTAACCCCACTTTTCGACAAATACATATACACATATATAAATCTGAAAATGGCCTCAAAATCATAAAAACCTCCTAGGTGGAATCTATAAATATCTCTTTAAAAATTTCCTCCACTTCAACATTTCAAATACTTCTTTTGCCGCCAACGTCTCATGACACACTAATCCTCGTCCATCTCCACGTATTACGCTCTGAAGAAGGTCGAAGAATGGCGCCCGAAGCGTCGGCACCTCTTGGACGTGGCGTGTCAGCCAAGGGCATGTTTTGCCTGCATAAGTTGTACATCTCTGGCTGCTTTCCGTAGCAATTGTTCAGTGACTTGGCACGTATCGGCGCTCAGAACGTGTTCCAATTCCCCTGGCGAGATCCCTTCGTCGACACATAAGACGCATTTCGGGGAACTCACATTGCCATGTTTGCCCTCGAACCAGGACAAGGCCGCAAAGTTCTGCTGTCTGTAAGAGAATAAGCGATTTCTTTGTAAAAAAAATCTTGAAAGCGCCAAGTTAGAAAATGTTTGATCTTTTCTTCTTAAATACCTTCAAAGCGTAGCGAAACTGTGTTTGATGCGTGGCGCCAAACGTGAATTACTTTGTCCGCCCATGTGCTAAAAGCATGCGATTTGTGGAGCCTTACGGCGAGGCGTGTGGTGTTTCAGCGAGCATCCACTCGGCGGCGACGCCCGTGGGCGCGTTTGCGTCGGGCGTGGTGACGGAGCGCCTGGGGCGGCGCGCGGCGCTGCAGCTGACGGCGCTGCCCTTCCTGGTGGGGTGGGCGCTGGTGGCGCTAGCGCGGTCGCACGCCGTCATGCTGGCTGGGCGCGCCGTCGCAGGCCTCGCCGTGGGCCTCTCCGCCGCCCCCGCGCAGGTGAGGCACCGCCTGGGCTGGCGTTTCCAACTTACAATTGTTATTCAAACATGCAAATATAAATCTGCCTGAGTTGTAAAACTCGGTTGGAGTGTCGTACACCAACTCGATGCACGCGAGATTTGTTGAGGGACACTGGATCGAGTTGGCATGAGAATGGACGCCTGAATGTAGACCGGAAATATTAATATGGAATTATACTTTTAAAACCCAATTAGTGGCGACTGTAGGATATTGGATGTTTGATGAAACCTTAGGGAAGGTACTCAGCAAATCGGTGGTTCTGAAATAAGTAACAAGATATCTGTGGTAACATTTGCCGATTGTTTCTAGATTTATAATTTAAATAATATATTTGATATAGTATATTGTCGATATAAAGCATCGCGGTCACTTATGTGTGCATATGCTGTAGCGGGAACATTGGGTTCAGTAGACTAGTAACGATACAACACCAATAAGAATATCATAATAAACTTTAAAACAAACAAAATTTTACATATTATGTTTAAACACAAAAAGGTCAGTATCACATTGTTGATACGACTAAAGAAAAGTAAACAATACAATCAAATCTACTTGAGAAATTAAAAACGTAAAGGAAACGAAATATAAAATTAAGTCATAGGGACCATCAACGCAGTAAGCAATATTAATTTAGTCTACTCACGATGATTGTTTCTGTGAGGAGTTGATAGGTTAGGCGAGTACAGCGGCGGGTGTGCGCAGGTGCTCATCAGCGAGGTGGCGGAGCCCCGCAACCGCGGCGCGCTGGCGGGCACGCCCATGGTCAGCTACTCGCTGGGCATCCTGTGCGTGTACGCGTTGGGGTCGGCGCTGCCGTGGCGCGTGGTGGCCTGGCTGGGCACGGCGCTGCCGCTGCTGGCGCTGGCGGCGCTCTCGCTGGTGCCCGAGAGCCCCACGTGGCTGGTGCGGCGCGGTCGGCTGCCCCAGGCCAGCAGGGCGCTGCGCTGGCTGCGTGGCGGCACCGTCGCTGCTCCGCTGGTGAGCCTTCTCCCTTCTCCCTCGCCTCTCCCGCCGTCTTTTGCTTAACGTTCATTTTACTTCACAGCCTCCTTCGGTAGAGGGTTGTCGTCCTTTTGCTTCTTTCTTTACTTCGCTTCTCTCTTCGGGCTCACTTTGCGATCTTTTCATCTAATTTCTTTCGTCGTGCTTCATCTCTCGCTCTGTTAAGCCCTTTTCTTCTCCCCTCTCTCCATCGGTGAAAACATGTAGCCTTTTTCGTTTGTTTGTTTTTTCTGTTTGTATTGTTTTCTTGCTATTTTTCTTCTTCTCTCCACCTGACGCGTCTTCTCCTCCCTGTTGCTTCTTTCCTTCCGTTGCTACAATTTTCTTAATCTATTTCATTTATTCCCTACTTCAGGGCGTCTTTTTCTTCCTCTGTGACTTCTTTTGACTTTCCCGTATGCGCACGTATAATGCAGAGTAATAGACGTAGTATAGGGAAAGTAATGTAATAATGCGCGAAAAAATTCATTGCCGGGCCCTACTAACGAATAAGTGGATTAATCTAGTTGCTAAATTTAGAAAAAATCCTCCAACACGTCGCCAGAATCCCTGTTTTGTTTGTCCTTGTTATCCGAAAAATCAATTGTTGGCAAAACGACCATCCCTCCATCTGTCTGTCTGGTATATGTGAACAACATAGGGGCCTAAATTATTTTCAAAACTGAATTAACCTTTGTCGATCTGGCCTAAGTCAAAGCTCTGCGATTTTGGGAAATATTCATGAACTTTTACTTTACATAAAGCCCTCGGGAATAATCAAAATTTTCCAAATGTCCAAACGCTTTTTAAAAAAATGGCCCTTAAGCACTACTGTCAATGCGAAATGTGAACCTCTACTCACAGAATATTATTATTGAAGTTTTGAAAACCTTCATATGAAGTCATTTTAAGCACTTCCAATCAAAAATGTAATAGTGCTTACAAATTGTTGGAAATGTGCATATTAAAAGCATTAGTAATATTTTTAAAAAATTACATTTTTGTAATTTTTGAAGAAACTAATGAATACAGCGAAGTTAATTTGATGTCGTCTTACTTAAACAGTGCAATTAATACTACCTGATGGGAAAGTTTGAAAAACAAATTTGGAGCCCCTTTTTTAAATTATTTAAAAAAATATTCTCTCGAAAATAGCGTTTGAGCGTTTCTGAAAATGCGGAATCTTGAGTTAGTTTTCACAGAAAATTGTTGAGATTTCTAGAAACTTTGTAAGGCATTATTTCAAGCGCATATACTCGTAAATAATATAATGTGAATAAATTGCCGCTGGTATAAATATTAACGACCTGAGGGACAAATGAATAGAGCTAAGTTGCGATAATGTCATCTTATAGAGTGAACTTAGCAGTGTCCCTACCAAAAGTATAAAGAAAAACTTACGAGCAGTTTTCAGAAAATGTTGTTTTTGTAATTTTTAAAATTGGACATGTTACTCGGAATTTTGTGTTTACTTATATTTTTAAATGTATATTACATGATATGTTAATGAAAGAAGAATACATTTTATACGAAGGAAAAATCTGTATCTTTAATTTTGTAGTTGTATGAAGATGCCAAACAAATTCTCTTTTGCAATTTCTGAAAATTCAGAGTTAACCCTAAAAATGGGATCTTTGCCATCTTTAAGTGTGCATTTTACTTTAATTTTACAAGAAATTTAAAGAAAAAATGTGGAGCCATTTTGAAAAAATTTTGAAAATGTCCGGGATCTTCATGTAAAGTAGTCTCAAAGTTCGAAAAACAAGTTTTTCAAAATCGTTACCGCCTTGATTCGAGCCAGTTCGACGAGGGAATACCCAAAAATCCTACGAATGGTTTAAGCGCTAGTGGTGTTTACAGACAGACAGACGTTTTGAAAAACAAAAACAAAAAACCTTTCTCGGTATCAGGAGTCCCCAAAATTTGTATTTCTGTTAAAATCTCGAAATCGATTTTCTGCAGGATTCCATAACTTTCCCTATATTACACATATTACTTCATAGAAACGTACGTATACGGGAAAGTTGTAAGAATATAAGATTAATTTTACTGTGCATTGAATCCGGACAATAATCCAATATCTTATCAAGTAATTGTACTTAAAATTATACGTATAAGTTCAAAGTTTTTTTGTGAAATTGTACTTTATTTTCTCGTAAACGGATATATATATACTAAGTAATGCTGTATAATACGTAGATTAGAGAACGTTATGTAATGCTGCGCGAAAAAGCGACGGGTTTTGAGGAGAAAAAATTCAGTGCCGAGCCCTAGCAATGAATAAGTGGGTAAATCCAGTTGCTCAATTCAGAAAAAAAATCCTTTTAACGTGGGGTAGCCTAAATCCCTGTCCTGTGGGTCTTCGAAGAAAAGAAGAAAAATCAATTGGTAGGAAAGAAGGCCGTCGTCTGTCTGGCCACCCATCTGTTAACACTAGGATGTTCCATTTCTTTCGAGTTTCAAATTTTTGAACTCTCGCCCTTCAATTTTGTTCGTATGACATTTAAACATGTCAATACAAAATTTTGTTGGGGTCGGAGTGTTCTAACCCCTGCTGACTTGAGCGCGAATTCGTGTGACGAAGCCCCGACCTATCACCCGCCGCGGAGTAAGACCTGAGCATAACTGTGCATGAATTTTAGTCCTTCGCGCCACCCGGGGTTACAAGTCGCTACTCTAACATAATGTCATTTGTTATTGTTGTATGCAGTGCCGGAGAGAGCGTAGTGTAATAGAAGATGATATTAATTATTAATATCATCATTCAGAAAATAAAACGGGATACATTTTATCATCAAAAAACAATTGCTTGAAGTTTTATTTTATAACGTATGGAAATTAAAATGAACAATTAGTGCTAGTGCTAAACTTGTGGATTGTGAGTGCAATGTATTTTGGGACAAAGCAATAATTCCGACGACAGATAACAATCATTGTTGGAAAAACAGATTAGCGTGTACTATTCGGAGTGAAGAAAAATAACAAAAACAATAAACAATTATGAACATATTTTTAACCATTGTGAAGAGGAGTTTAGAAATAATTTGAACAATCTATTTAATATTGCACATCCGATTGCTTTACAAATGATTACGTTGGAAGAAGACAGGATAATTTTACTTCGGCAGAGAGAACCAGAACGTGGACGCTATCTTGCAGGAGTAAACGAAAATCTCTTGAATAAAGAAGAAACGCCGGAACAAAGAACATGACAAGAAAAGAAAAGGAAAGAGAAACAACAATGTGAAGCGTCTGTCTTCTGCTGTACCTCGTTCATTGTCTACAGATTTAGATCACGTACTTCAAGCTCAGATGTAGATTTATTCAATTACAAAACAGTAAAAACTGTATGTGACGTAGGGGGGAAAAGATTTTCTGGGCACGTTTTCTCTTGAGTTCCAGAATCCCTTCCCGTCATTTTAACTATAAATAGTTGAAACATGAGTTAAAGTTTAACGTAAATAGTGTAATGGACCACGCGACACAATTTTTGCCGTGCCGCTGTGAGTCACACTATCATAGGGGAGGAGCTGCCGTCACACTGAAGGTGCGACGGTCGTTTCCAGGTACCAGGAGCATGCGCTAAATTTATTAGGGAGGGCGCCAAGCGTATGCCTACCTCTGATCTGGGTGTCGGCCATGAGACATCTGCAGGGATGAGCGCCCTGGGTCGAAGGGATTGCATTTGCTCACTAGCTACTAAATAATGCGCATTTTTCTTGTGTGGCCACCCGACCAAAATGGCGGGGACACGGTTATTGGTATAGTCAGTCCTCTTTTACATAACATTCCCTTTAGGGCTTTACTCTGGCTATTAACTATTTGAAAGTGAACACTTACGGGAATGGATGAATAAATTTCTGATACGTCACTCCGAGGGATTACACGTCAGATGTAGGCCGGTGGCAGCAGATGACCCGTTGGAGAACCATGGACATCTCCTGTAGTCGGCAGGAACACGTCGCCTGGCTGGGCAGGAGAGCTTCCACGGCCGTCCACGGGATTGGAACAGCAACTTTCGATGCGCGGGTCACAGGTCGTCATACGTCGCCTGGACCGCGTACTATGTTTGGCAGCCGAATATTTAGGCTGCACAGACCGCGCATCGTAGGCGTTCTAGACCGGCATCCGGACTGCATTCCGATGCGGGAAGATAATGGCTGAAGACTACCGACAGTTTCCGTATAGCTATAATCGCCGTTGAATCTCGAAGGGAGCTCCCTGAGCCAACCGCTCGCTTCAACAGTATTTTTCTAAGTGTCCGTCCTTCTAGCGCCTTGTGACCCTGCGATTTTCCGTCCCACCCCTCTCGAAAAGTGCCCGACCTATCACGTCGCGAAGCTTTCCATGGGCTAGTCTTCTTTGGAGGCATGCGATTTATAGTCGCTGCTCTCGCCTCTTAATGTAACAGTTTTGGTTGTCAATCACTTACTGCTACACAAAGGGGAGGAATTCCTTTCGGGGACGGACGCTGGCTGTGGAATTCTCGGTTCGCGGCGCGCACGCAGCTGCGCGTGGCGAATGTGCAAAGATGCGCTCTTTGCCTAGAAATATGGTGATTCAGCGTGACGCGAGGGCCGAGCTGTGCAATGAGTCTGAATGACTCATTGCAGTAGATAAAAATAAATTTTAAAAATCACAAGATTAGCAATATTTGAAAAATAGTAATTTTCGTTTCTGAGTTATAGAAAACTTATTTGCATTGGTACACGAATTGCAAGTATGATTTTTTTGCATAGCTCACAAAATAGCAACACGGTCTTACCTCTACCCTTACCATTACCATTACAAGCAAAAGGAGTGTTCAACAAAACGTGGGCATAGTGAAGCTACATTTACGTCCAGAAGCAAAACAAGGGGCCATCTCAGCATTTGTTCAATGGATTAAGGAAACGACAAAAACCTGATCGAGATGGGGGTCATTGTCCCCCAGATGAACTCAACGTAGGGGAGTTTTTAGGAGTGACATTCGAAAGTACAATAATACAGAATGCTGCATGGCGTGACACCAAATATTTCATTACTCCTAAACTAATGGCTGCTTTAGTTAAATGCCAGCTGGATGTAAGGTGTTTTGTATACATTATTCAGGCGACAGTAGAGGATCTTGGCCCCAACACCCGAAGAACTCTATATTCATAAATCTTTTATTCTTCGAACAACGAACTACAATATACTATGTAGAGTGGCCGCCATGTTTTTTGAAGTCAAAAAATACGAGCAATGCCGCCTAAAACATACCACTAGGTGGCATTACACGCGTGTGGCAGTGTAACCGTCCGTAACCAGCGCCAAACGTTACGCTAGAACACTTGTTCGCAGAGGGCGCTGCTTTGATTGCAAAAAACATGGCTACAATTTGCTTCAAAGATGGGGGCCTTTAAGCTACTCTATGTAGTATATTCTAGCTCGTTGTATTCAAATCAGACACAAAAAGAGGAAAGAACTTTAAGAAACAAATCTTATTTTAAGAGTAATATATCTGAAATTCATACTGTGGTTTGGGATGGTAAACTGTTGCCTGCATTAAATTCCAAAAGAAGAAAAATCTCCAATTGTCACATTAGGCAGCTCATCGCTTTCCAAAGTTGCGAAGTCTTCTGGCAAAGAGTGCACTTACGCTGTTTGGAACGTGTTGGGGTATGGGAGGCAATGGGCAAATTCTTTGCTTGTTCCAACTGCATCAAGCACTTGACGGTCTAAAGGAGCGCGCGTCTTTTTGGAGGCACTTGGAACAGTGACTTGTTCTTTCCCGCCGTCATCACATACACCAACTTTTATTACAATGTATTTGAGTGTAAACTACATGCAATCCTGACACCTGTTTTTAAACATTTTAAGGGAAGCTGGGAAATAGTTAATGCCATTAATATTGAAAGTGGCCAAGAGAATGTGGAAATGTTCTTTAATGAGTCCAAAATTAAAGAAATTTTTGGCTTTATCAAAGTAACTAACTAACGATACATCCTGCCGGAGCGGTACATCAAGCGCAATGGATGCCAAGAGCTATTTAATGATTAAAAATGTTTCTATTAACATTATAACCTAAACTATCTAGCGTAATGAAAAATTCCTTGAAAATGTTTCTATGTTGATTGTAACTGTTTATGTCAAACAGTACTTTAGTGCAGTGCAGCTGTAAAAGTTCTTAATCAAGATATCAGCTTCTTAAAAGTTCTAAAATCGCATTAAAGTATATATTTCACAATTTCAAAAGCTGCTTTAAAACAATTTAGACACAGTATGTGGGATGTATCAGAAAAATTGTCAGTCGTATGAAAATGAAATAGCTGTACAAATAAAAATAAAAATGGTACTAAAAAATATTTTATGTTTATACATACAAACGTCATTGATGATGAAATTACCATACAAATAAAAATCAAAATGGTACAAAATTTAGCCTGAGAGAATCTACACCTGGAAGATTGATATATACCTTTGTGGAGAATTGGATGGTGAGTAAAATGGTAAGAGCAATTGTATTCCGATGACCGATATTTAATTATTACTTTCTTAATATATAAACCATCTCCTAATTAAATTTAATCTTCATTTCAATAAAAACAATAGTCACTTTGCCACTTTGCCAACCAAAAGCAGATATCTGTTCTCTTGCCTGAGGATGGATACTTGTTATATTTAAGAATATCCTTCGACCAAGCAGCTCTTCATAGTTAGAAGCTCGAAGGTTTTTTATGAAGTAGAAAGCTGTGAATGACTGCGCTTAAAGGCCTGTTCCATTAACATGTATACGTAGTTTTCCATTGACTGAACACAACCAGCTAACGATCCCAAACATTCAAATTTGCGCGGGTCCGTCTATTCAGATGAAATTTTAATTTTGGATATAGTTGACCCAATGGAAAGTATTTAGGGGGTTACTATAAAATTTGGTGTAATTTACATGAAGACCATTTTCAAAATTTTCTCAAACCCGACACAATTTCTTTCTTTATATTTCTTGTAAGAATAGATTAAAATATACATATTAAGGAGGCATATATCCTATTTTCACAGTTAACTGAATTTTCGAAAATTGCAAATATTGGATTTTTTTGGTGTCTTTCTACAAGTACCAACTACAAAATTAAAGAAAGAGGTTTTCCTTCATATAAAATGTGTTCTCCATGTTTAGTTCTTTAAAAAAGGTCTTGTACATTTTTTAAAAATTTTAGTAGTTTTGGAGGAATATTGAGTGCAGTATTTGAAATTTTAAAAAAATTGCAAAAACCAAATTTTCTCAAAACAGCTCCAATTTTTTTCTTTAAAATTTTGGTAGGGATAGTACTAAATTCACTCTATAAGATTATATAAACGGTATATTAATTTATACTTTTGTTTTTTCAAAAATTACAAAAATTTTGTTTTTATTACCATCTCATGTCGTTAATATTTACAGTAGCAGCGATTTGTTCACATTATTGTATTTATGAGTCCATGTGCTTTAAATAATCTAATAACGTCTCTTTAGTCAATAGTTTTCTGTGAAAGCGAATTCAAAATTCTGTATTTTTAGACACGCTCAAACGACTTTTTTTTTTCTCAGAAAACTGTTTCAAAATTTTACTTCAAACTTGTCGTACGGATTGGGCTTACTGCACTGTTTAAGGTGATATACAATTAATTCCCCTGTATGCTTTTGTTTTTACAAACTTTATTTCAATATCTCTCACGCTGTTAATATGGGCTTTTCCAGCGATTTGTATATCTTATTACATTTACGAGAAAAAGTTTGTCAAATGTCTTAGAATAATTTTTTTCGAAAACATAAAAGATTCCTGTAAAAAAGACCCTCAAATTTCACATTTACACCAGAGTTTAAACGATTTTTTATTAAAAAGTGCCCCGATTTTTCCATCGAAATTTTCCATACAGGACGAGGTTTTACTGTTCTTTAATATTTTTAAAATCATATTTCAAATCTACCCTTAGGAAACCGAAAAAGTGAGAAAAAAATTAAATAAATTGGGCGGCGATAGATGGCTGCCGCCAAGGGGATGTGGGCAGGACGGAAAATGCCACAGCTTTAAAAGTAAAACTTATTGAGTCAACATTTTTGCGTTTTAAATTACTTCATTTTTACGACTTTCATTAATGATGTCTAGTTTGTCACATTTGTATTGCAATTTTTTTTATTAGATTAGATTAACTTAACCTACATGCTATACATTTTTACATCCGCTTTTTTTTTATGTATCTCTTACTTTTGGCTTAGCCTTCCGTCCTTTAGCTTGCTGTAAATTAAGCTTTCGAGGCGATCCCTCTTAGTGCTTGATGCATCCGGAAAAAGGCTATTCTGTCTATGACGTTCCCTGTGTCATCTTGGCTTTGCAGGCCCAGCGCGAATTTGAGCAGCTAGTGGCTCGACTTCGCTCGGAAGAGACGCAAGGGGAGGCGGAGGCGGAGGCCGAGGCGGCGACCGCACCCCGCCCGCCCGAGGGCTGCCTGCGAGCTTTCTCCCGCCCAGACGTCTACAAGCCGTTCTTCATTGTCGTCACCCTCAACATCATGCAAATATTCTCAGGCACCTACCTCGTCATCTTCTACGCCGTGGACCTCCTCGAAAAGGTGCCTCATTAGTTTGATCTCTTTTCTTAACGGCTGACAATATTAACACGTCGTAATAAAATAGTTTTACGAGATAACTTGACGTAACCCCGAATATTCTAACGTCAACAAAAATATATGGCATCAACAAAAAGGGGTTAGACATGAACATGGTTACATCAATATGCAAAAGAATGATTATTACGAGTAACGAAATAAAAATGTGTGAGTTAAATTTAACTGTTGATTTCCGTAATGTCGGCGCATATTGATAGATATCGCCCAAACTCAAAGTTGTTAAGAGAAGCATTGTTGTAAAGTATTGTTCTTTGACGACATAAATGACGGAATTGTTAGAGCGTTATTAACTTTGGGTAGGTCAAACATTATGCCATTCTAATCAGTTGAATTAAGTACTTTGCCACCCTAGTGTGGTAATGGACTTGATTATCACAGTAGGGCGGTACTCCAATGGCGCACTTAACCACTACCCTTTTGAAAATATTTTGGACTGTTTGTTTTATATCCTATACATCTCTTTAAAAACATTAATAACTGAGTAAACTTACTGATGTCAATATTGTCATTAAGTAATATTGTTCTTTTTAACATAGAGCAGTGGGTCCAAAGTATATATGGTTTCTCCTTCTCTGACTTGCCAGAAAAGTCTGCAATCAAAACATTTTTCCGATATGGAATGGACTAATTACATAAGTGAAGAGAATTAAAAAACTTTGACCGATTTTTGAGAATTTTTTGTTCTTGTAAATTTTAATCGCAATATTCGAGAAAAAAAATTTTTTTCCCTTTTTTTCAAAAAAGTGTACATGACCTTCTGTGAAGAGCTAATTTTGTACAACAGACTTTCTGAGACAAAAATATGTATCTCTAGTTTTTTTTTTCAATTTTCTAAAAATCGGGAATGTCAACGAAAACGAGATCTGTACCATTTTATCAAAAGTCCTTTCCACTATTCAACAACATAATTTAATAAAAAAATATGGGTTTTTAAAATTTTACCCCAAATTTTAAAAATATACCTCCAAAATTGAACTTCATTTCAAGTCATTTCAGGCACATTAATTCACAAATGCAATAGCGTTTTCAAATCGCTGGAAATGTGCA